TTAAAAATAAGTTAATTTATAACCTTCATTTAGTATATATTTTTTCCCCCCCCCCCCCCCCCAGAAATTAATTCCTATATACGCCACTGAGTACAGTAGTATGATGTATGTATTTTTATTTTAATTATAAATGTACTTTTATTTTTTTTGACATGCCTATGGTTATACTTTTTGGTCTTGATTAAAATTATTCCAATCATTGCGAATATTTCAACATGATTAATAAATATTTGTTCATGTTTAAAAAAATAATAAAAAAATTAGTCTCATGATTTAATAAAAATGTGTGCCTTTTCGGCCACCGAAGCCTTTTTTTTAAGCTAATAATATATGTTATGTTTCAAAATTTCAAGCTTTCGTAATTATTTCGTCAAGGATAAAATAACTATGGTAAATTCTGAAAAAATAGTCTTAAAAATGTAATAAAAAGTTTCTCTCACATATCTTCTAACTAATAAATAGGAGTAAAATAATTGAGCGTGATTTAACATTAAATGTTGATAAAACTCAATAAAAATCACAAAAATTCGCTACATTTTTCTATGTAAGAAAGCTTAAAAAAATGTTATTAATTAAAAGTTGAAATTTAGATACAAATTTTTTCATAACATTTTTTAACGCAGTAAAACAAAAACAAAAATACCGGAAAGCCACAAAATAATTTTATAAACTTAAGAAAATTATATATTGACGGAATCGGACATTTTAATAAATATCAGATATACCTGTACGATATTAGTCATTATGCTGTTATTTTATGAAATATATTATTCGTAGCGACTCAAAACTAAAACTGAGTGCTTAAGATGGCATTTTTTTGGTATTTAATAGTTTCTTAATATTTAAATACATTTTTGATTTTTATATGAACATTTTATCTTTTCAATTGATTATCGTTTAATATATCAGTTCAATCAATCATGTATTTTTAGGGAGACATAATAACAAAGGAAATGGTGTTGGGAAATGTTAAAGTTAGAAATGCCGTTGTAAATCTTGGGAATAAATTCATTCAATCAATAAAAGAAGATTGTGGTGATAATGTGACATTGAATTTACCAACTATTAAAGGAGATAATGTAAGAATATACTTATTTGTTAAACTTATAAATTAAAATGATAATTTAACCAATTATAAGTTATTATATGCGTGATATACGCTCAGAAATTGATTCGAACCTGGCCTCTGGCAGTTTCTCTCTTTGAGCAGGGGACGATTGTCTCAAGAGAAGAAACTGCTTCCCTTACCCTAATATAATAAGTAAATTTTCAAAAAAATTTCCCAAATGCTAAAATCTATTAAAAAAATAGTAAACAGTTATTTTAAAACTAAAATTTAATTCATAGACTATAGTTATCAAAGGACCTGAAGATGATGTTAAAAATGTTATTACACAAATTCAGACAATGGTTGATGAAGTTCATAAATATGTGTTTGATTTGAAAGTAAATCCGAAGTTTCACAAATATTTAATTGGAACAAATGGAGTCAATGTTAAAAAGGTATGTTGTTAAAATAATTTAGTGTTGCATGCCAACCGTTTGGTCTGTTGATTCCAGTACTAGTGTATAATCAACACTTGGATGTTGGTGTAGTGAAGAAATAATTAATACTCTTTAAGATAAGTTAGTTTATTAAACTGTTAAAAATTATCCTAAGTACAATAAATTTAAGTTAGTTGTAAATACTCTAAGTCTAAATATTTAAACTATAGAAAATATTCTAAGTCCTAACAATTACACTTTATAAAATTAGTTCTAAATATTTCTAAGTCCAGATCATGACATACACTGACGTGAAGATGCTCAGTGCCGCATAGCCAAAACTCGTCTGATTTGCCCTTGTTTTCGGGTCCCTTTTATATCCGATATACTCGTATGTAAGTGTGTGTGTGTGTGTGTGTGTGTGTGTGTGTGTGTGTGTGTGTGTG